GATAACAAGGCTTCATATAGTTAGAGTACGGGCACTTTCAGGAGATTACCGACTAAATGACAGCCTGTTACAGCTCATAATCAGAAAAATAATAGACGAAGTGATCAATAGATTGAAAAAGGAGAAGGCAGCTATGCAGAATGAGATACCACGGGAGATATTCAAGAATTTAACGAAGGGATGACTTTAACGAAACTTTAAGAATTAACGAAAATGATGAATGAAGTGTGGAAGAAGAGAGAACTACTTGACGAAAGGAAAAAGGTTCACATTTTTTTTTATCTGCAAGGCAGGAATAATTGAGAGGGATATCATCACTATAGATATATACATCAGGGATATCATTACTATAGATATATACATAGGGTATATTAACTGGTATGGATACTAAACAACAGACTGAGAGTATGCATCGAAGAAGAAGGTATACTGAAGGAGAGTCAGGCGGACTTCGGAGCGGGAAAAAGGGTAAGAGATGACTTATTCAATAATAGCATTATAGGAAACGAATTAAAGAAGGAAGGAAGAGAGTTTGCCTGATATTCATAGATTTCAAGAGAGCGTTTATATTGCAACATAGCCAACAAGATTTTTTTGAACTGAATTCCAAATACATCACCTAAAAGTAGAATTCTTATACTTGAAAATCTATCTTTCTGATTTAAAAATTTTTTTTTTTGTCAATTTATCCTTAATTGAAAATTATAATCTCAACTAACTTCTTATACCATGATCTCATTGAACAAATGATTAGACAATAAATCATACTATGATTCTGATTTTGAGGATGTTGAACACTTATAAACCATCAATATTTGGGGAAGGCCGTCAATTTATTGTGTTTTTCAACCCAACTCTAAATTAAACATTTTGTCAATAAACCCCACGCAAGTTAACTAGAGTAATGCTGAGGGCCAAACATGAAATTCCACACAGGTTAACCCCGAATATATGTAGAACCTCAAAAGCGATACAATTGTCCTAGTCTACAAACCTTGTACTCACGATATCCGGTTACATTCATCTATACATTCCGAAATCTTATAGTCTTTTATCTTCTTATGACTACGTTTTCGTTTTCATTTAAATAACTGTACGAAAGATACGAGGGTGGTCCGATAAGTACTTAGCCTCACCGCCCGATGGCGCCACTCTCGCAAAAGAAATATTCTATCACGTAGTACAACCTTCTCAATGGTTACTGTTATGATTTTAGCTGGATCGGAGTTGTAGTTTATTTTTGAGAGCGTGTGAAAGCAAGTGTGTCCGTTGATTTTTGAAAAATGGAAAAAGAGCAGTATCGGTTGTTGATTCGATTCTTGTTTTTGGAAGGGAAATCGCGCAGCGAAATCAAAAAGCGCTTGGATGCTGTGTACGGTGACTCTTCTCCTTTGATGGCTACTGTCAAAAATTGGTTTAACGAGTTTCAACGTGGTCGCACGTCGATTTTTGAAGAGCTCGTTACCTCATGTTACCTCGTTACCTCACGTTACCACAGAGGATAACGTGACAAAAATTCACGATCTCGTATTGGCAGATCGACGATTGAAGGTGGACGAGATAGCTAAGATCGTAGGCATCTCAAAAGTCCGCGTGGGTCATGTCCTGCATGAAATTTTGGGCATGAGAAAGCTGTCGGCGCGATGAGTGCCGCGTTTGCTCATTCCGGACAACAAGCGCAACCGTGAGACAACTTCAGAGCAATGTCTGACGCTGTTTAAGCGCAATCCGAAGGAGTTTCTGCGTCGTTTCGTGATAGTCGACGAAACATGGATCCACTGGTATACACCAGAGACCAAGGAACAGTCGAAACAGTGGACTTTATCCGGCAAAAGTGCTCCGAAGAAGGCGAAGACTGCCCCATCAGCTGGAAAGGTGATGGCCACCGTTTTCTGGGATTCACAAGGTGTGATCTACATCGACTACCTGGAGAGGAGCAAAATGGTCTCAGGGCTGTACTATGCCGTATTATTGGGCCGATTCGACGACGAATTGCAGAAAAAGCGACCCCATTTGGCGAAGAAAAAAGTGCTCTTCCACCATGACAACGCACCGGCTCACACCTCCGCCGTCGCCATGGCCAAATTGGTCGAATTAGGCTACGAACTGCTGTCCCATCCACCGTATTCTCCAGATTTAGCCCCGTGCGACTTCTTTTTGTGTCCAAACTTGAAATAGTCACTCGCCGGGCAGAAATTTGAGTCGAATGAGGAGGTAATCGCTGCCACGGAAGCCTACTTTTCAGACGTCGAGGAAACATATTTTTCAGACGGGTTGAAGAAGTTGGAGCATCGCTGGGCCAAGTGTATCGAACTAAAAGGAGACTATGTTGAAAAATAAAACGCCACTTTTCCAAAATTTTCGTTTTTCTTTTGTAGGCTAAGTACTTATCGGACCACCCTCGTATGTACAATTGTTATCTAATCGTGACATAGTCTTTCTAGGTAAGAAAGCTAATTTTGTAATCTTATTGATTGATGAAAAATCCATTCTATAAAAAAACAAATCAATAATTAATTGAATATATAACTATATGCTACTACTAGCATATAGTTAGAGAGCTATATAAGAGCGCCCTACTGTCGAAGGAAAGAGCGAGAGAGAGAGAGAGAGAGATCGAGAATGCAGCATCCACGCTATACAGTGTACGTGCCTAGCCAGCATATAGCTTACCAAACGCCCTACCAACTTCTATAGCGTTCTACCTTAATAACCTCTAGGGTGGCTGGGGGGGGGGGGGGGTCGTGACTAGGTCAAGGAACGACTCTGGAAGGTCGTCGGGAGTCACCATCCACTCCCTAACCACAGCAGCATCCACGCTATAAGGTGTACGCACCTAGCAAGTTGGAGGCGCTACCCCCTCTCCGAGGGTCCACACCTAGCTAGCATATAGCTTACCAAGCTAGAGACGCTAGCCCCTCTTCACCAAAACGCAATACCTTTATCGGGTGGTCTCAGGACATACACATATCCCTTATACATTGGCACTGCTATAACGCATTTTCAATGCAAAAGATATATCAATTGCGTTTTAGACGCTCAGCATGAGGTCTCAAAATTTAGACGCCTACCATGAGGTGTCACCTTATCACGATATCGCGATACCTTCATCGGGTTGCCTCTTTGTGTCCCAGAACATACATATATTCCTTATACATTGGCGCATCCTTTGGTAGCTCCTTTGTGTCCCAAAACATACATTGCTTATCTACTCAATTTGTTAATTTATTTTATGTTCGCGATATGTATTATTATTTAAATAAAAATTAATATTTATTACAGACAAACAAACATTATAAGCAAGTAGCAGAGCAGGTTTACGAAAATTGAAAACATTAGACTTAGAGGGCGCGTGACGTCACACGTATATAGTCGCCGATTTGCATATATGTACTCGTAAACAACTCTAGGTCTTTAGGGGATTTAAGCTACAGCATGTTTTGATTTTCGTCTTTTAACATTGTTTTGTACATGATACTTTTTATAAAATGTATCTCGAACTAGCAAGACAGTTTAAATGTTAGCCATGCTATATTAACTGTATTAATTGCAGGATATGTGCAAATATATACAATTAAAGCGAAAAAGAGAAATAACTATAAAATTATATCTAAAATGTAGCGCAAGAACAATGAAATTTTAAAGGATAACCAATTTCAATAAAATAAACAATTACATTGGCTTATCAACCGTAAGAAATATTAAAATAGTAGAAATTAATAGCAAATTAATAAACTATATGCGAGAACTAAGAATAAGCAAGGCGATATCCGCAATTCTAGAAAGTTCTCATGCGAACTATGAAAATTTTGTATAAATTTGGTGGGGCGTAGCGGCGAACCCTCGCTCGTGTGTAAATATGCCTGCGTTTGCCGCAACAAGGACTCTATCCTATCCTTGCACGCGACGCGGACGGTGACTGGTGATTTAATAAATTCTTGGAGCATGCTCTGATCTAAAATTTAATTGTCACTATGTTATTATTAGCACTCTCCATTTTGTTCAGCAAAAAATTTTTTTAATCCAATTTTAGAGCCAACCCGTTGTAAAAAAATAATCAAACAATCATATCATTAATTGTCACTACTTCGCCTAACGACCATCCTTTCCTAAAAGCATCACAAGGACAACTCGTGGGGAAATATACTTCTCTACGAGATAGATCCTTTCAGTGTTTTCTTACGAAATATATTTAATAATTTGATAGTCGAGAGAATCTGCATAAGAATTCTCGGCATATGTTCAGGTGCCTCGCCTGACGTTAGGCCGGATCTTGTGTGGATTCTTGTAAGACGTTACGAGAGTATATTTTGTTTGCCTAAACCCGAGATTGCTCTCGTCAAATCGAATAAATAAGGTAGAGAATGACCCTAAATCAATGTTACGGTACTACCTAGGCTTCTTTTCCTGCGAGTGTTAATATTGTCTGGGACATACGTCCTACCATTGTTAAGAGTTTCTCACGTTTATATTAACGTGGGGACCTATTAGCTAAACTTGGTTTATTAACTATAGACCGTATCAAATATCATAAGATAAACTCGATGAAAATATTCTTTTTTTTTTAATGTTATTATTCATTATACAAAAGTAAATATGTTGAAGCGCGAAAACTCAAATTCTCACTTAACACCATATCAATTAATATCGGGTATGAACTATTAAAGAAGATGTGTAAGTTGTAGTCACTTAGGTGAAACTTTTACAACATTCAATAGTTGTTTGCAGATTTGTCTTTGTATGTACATTGAGACAGGTTTTTTAACTTTCAATCGCCTAGGCTCCGTACAAATCTGCCTTAAACGTATACAAATCAACGTATTGTACAGTAGATCATGTAACTGTCTCCTAACCAAGTCTTTTTTTTGCAAGGGGATATCTTAATTAATTTAAACCTGTTATACGTTGATAAAGTTAAATTATATTTGATTTGATTAATTATTAATTATAACTTTGATAATTATATTTATATCAAGTACAATAATTTTTTGCCTTTCCAGGTTTATTCAATTCCTAAAGTATAGATACCGGAAAAGAGTAATGACAATATTTTAAATAACGAAAGCTGTCAAAAAGATGTTCCGAAGATTGAAAGTACTAAATCATTTAGTGAAGTACTGATGCCTGAAATTTTTTTTGACATTATCCAGACGCCAGTCCTGGCTGAATTATTACTAATGATTCTTCGATATTACAAGAGTCAATCACATAACTACTTTAAATATGTCATAATTTATAATCATTGTTTATAGCATGTTTGAAGATCCAATTTTTCTGCAATTAAGATACGAGTTCGATCAAATTGTTAATCATATGGCAGATGTTAAATTTGATGTAACGTATCTGAGTTGTACTGAATACGTAGAAAAAATTGAAAATCATGAACAGGTAAAAAATGTTCTATTAATTTAATAATATTAATCAAAGTAAAATATTTAAACTTTATATGCCTATATATCTGATGTAGTGCATCAATATTTGGATCATACGTTGAAGTCCTAGGCACAGAAAAGCATAAAATTGAACAAAATACCGTACTTTAGTAAAAGTCTCATAATTGATACAGACATTATTAAACAGTTTCTAATACCTGTTACAAGTATAATCTTTAAGTGCGTAGTAAAAACTAGCTGTCTGTCTCAAAATAAATCTGCAATGAGATAATTCGTATGCAGTGGAAGATTTATTAAAATATATGCGTTTATTTGATTGATAAAACAAAATTGACACTTTCACGAAATAAATGTCGCCAATCATGGGATAAACTAATATTTTAATATGTTACGTAAAATTCTTAATATCAAACTTTCATTAGATAACATTAAAACAGAGAACATTGAAGGTATTTCAATTTATATAGAAATAATTAGCCATAATTATATTTCTTCAACGCCTAATTAATTTTTTATTAATCATAAATATGTATAACTGTAAAAACTTGTCATTGAAAGAAATTAAAATTCTTTAGTCTTAAAAAATATTTTGAGTCTTCGAAAGTAATATATTCACAAAGGTGAGCAATCAAATTGTATTATTATATCAATTTAATATGTATTAATCTTACGTTAAATATTATGAAATAAATTTGTAAACAATATGAAACAATAAATAAAAATGTGGATAACTGTGTTACTCTACATCTTCAATATTTTTAAAACATATTTGATTTTATTATTTGTTTAACAAATATTTTTGTAAACGTTACCCCAAATATTTATTACTACTAATTTATTTTTATTAATATTAATTCGTTATACGAGGTGTGTTCAGTAAGGTGAATTTTTAAATTGGACGGGCTGTGTCAATTCGATCATCGATATTTTTTTTTTATTATGTTGGTATATACGAGGTGTGATCAAAAAGTAAGGTGAATTTTGAATTTTAGCGGGCTACGTCAGTTCGATCTTCGACTTTTTTATTTGGTTATGTCGGTACACTCGTCTAGAACATACGTTCCAAATTTCAGCTTTGTAGTATGTTTGGTTTGTTTGTGAGAGGCATCAAGGTTAGAAGTGTTTTGCGTGCTCCACGATTTGCTGCTGTCTAAAAACATGGATCAAAGAGTTTGCATTAAATTTTGTGTGAAAAATGGAATCAAATGTTCATCTCATTTGGTTCGTGCCAATCAATTTTGACGAGTGTTTTAGACATGAGACGTGTGTCAGCGAAGTTTGTTCCGAAATTGCTCAATTTCGACCAAAAGAAACGTCGCATGGGCATCACCTAAGAGCTACTGAATGACGTCAACGATGATCCAGATTTACTCAACAGGGTTATAATAGGTAACGAAACATGGGTATACGGTTATGACGTCGAGACTAAGACTCAATCGTCCCAGTGGAGGCATTCTGGATCAACAAGACCAAAAAAAGCACGCCAAGTTCGATCAAATGAAAAGGTTTTGCTTACAGTTTTCTTTAACTGCAGGGGCGTGGTGCATCATGAGTTCTTGCCACAGGATAGAACAGTAAATAAGGAATATTACCTGCAAGTTATGCGCAATTTGCGCGAAGCAATCCGCCAGAAACGTCCGAATTTGTGGAAAAATAAAAATTGGCTTTTGCACCATAATAACGCCCCTGCTCACACATCGTTGCTTGTGCGCGAATTTTTGGCTAAAACCAACACAGGAACGATGCCACAGGCACCGTATTCCCCAGATCTGGCCCCCTGTGACTTCTTCTTGTTCCGAAAACTGAAGAGGCCCATGAAAGGACGGCGTTTTGCCACGATTGAGGAGATAAAGACGGCATCGAAGGATGAACTAAACAAGATCACAAAAAATGATTTTTTGAGATGCTTTGAGGATTGGAAAAAGCGTTGGCACAAGTGCATTATATCCGAGAGGGATTACTTTGAAGGAGATAAAATAAAAATTGATGAACAAATAAATATTTTTTGAGAAAAATGAAAATTCACCTTACTTTTTGATCACACCTCGTATGTCCCTCACTATGCTCAGTTTCAGATAGTTTGTATGTTTATTTTTTTTTTGCTAGACAGAAACATTAGACATATTTTTTGTGCTGGATGAAAAGTAGCCTTAGAATATCTCCTCTCTATAAAATTATTAATTGCCTAGAAATAGTATTGAATATTCGTTGCGGCGCTGTCGGGCTTTTCCCGATAGATGCAACAATACTCAATTATATTTTAAAACGGCTTATCGAAACAACGAATATTGTGTTTGCTATTCGGTGAATATTGAAATTTCAATTTATATAGAATATACGAGGTCTGTCCGGAAAGTATGGGGCCTACCTTTATATTTTTGTGCTAGCGTTATTCTTTATCATCTGGTGGGTGGCATCCTTCAAAGTAATCCCCACTTGATTGAATAACACGGTTCCATCGATGTTTCCACTTTTCAAAACAGTCCTGGAACTCACTTTTAGGGATAGCCTTAAGTACACTCGTCGCATTGTTTTCAACTGTTGTTTTGTCATCGAATCGGTGTCCTTTGAGTGGTTTTTTAAGTTTTGGAAACAGCCAAAAGTCACAAGGGGCTATGTCGGGACTGTATGGAGGTTGTCCAAGCAATGCGATATTGTGTTTGCTCAAAAACTGCTGCACAAGATTGGATGATTGCGCTGGCGCATTATCGTGATGGAGAAGCCAGTCACCCCTTTCCCAAAAGTGCGGCCGTTTTCTTCTTACTGCATCACGCAAATGTTTCAAAATTTGAACGTAGTATTCTTTATTGATTGTCTGACTTCTTGGTACATATTCATGATGTACAACACCTTCACAATCGAAAAAAACAATCAACATTGACTTAACATTACTCCGACTTTGACGTGCTTTTTTGGTTTTGGCGATTCAGAATGCTTCCACTGTGAAGATTGTTGTTTTGTTTCAGGACCATATCCATAAACCCATGATTCATCACCTGTAATAACTTTTCTAAGGACATTATCATCATTATTGACCATTTCCAGATTGTCCAGAGCGATTTCTAAGCGAATGTTCTTCTGCTCAGCTGTGAGTAATTTTGGGATGAATTTCGCACACACGCATTTCATTCCTAAGTTTTCGGTTAAAATTTCTGAAATAATAGTTTTTGGTATCCCAAGGTCATCTTCTAGTTCTCGCACAGTCATACGATGATCTTGTTCAATTGCAAGTCGTATCCGCTCAATATTATCTACGGTTTTTATCGTCGAAGGTCGACCGGAACGAGAATCACTAGCGACAGAAGTACGACCATTCTTGAACCGTTTATACCACTCTTTTATCCGTGTTTTGCTCATACACTCGCTTCCGAAGGCCTTTAGCATCATTTCAATAGTTTCCGAACGCGTTTTTCCGAGTTAAAAACAAAATTTAATGCAAATTCGTTGATCTTGTTTTTCAGTCATTTTTGACAATATCAAAATCCGACGGACGCGAAAAAGGCACTGTAAACAAAGACACGCTGCGCATGAACTATACGTCCGGCAGTTGTCAGTAAGTAACCAATAGATTCGTGAGGCTTTACTGTTGACGTTTCCGTCCTGTAGAGGTGGTTTGAACACTATGGCGCGAAGATATAAAGGTAGGCCCGATACTTTCGGGACAGACCTCGTATGCGTGTCAACTTCTTGCTACTCTCGAAAACGCGATTACAAATATAACAGAAAGAGTCCAAATTATTTACTTGACTAATGCGAGATAGAATCAAACGTTACAGTATGTTTAGTTTTTTTTGCGAGATAGAAACGTTAGACGTGTTTTTTATGCTTGGCGATTTTCTGCTGTCGAAAACAATGGATCAAAGAGTTTGCATAAAATTTTGTGTAAAAAATGGAATTAAGTGCTCCAAAATAAGTGGTATAAGCTCTTTCAAGTTGTCCTAGAAGATACCGATGACAAACCTTGCTCTGGACGCCCCAGCACTTCAATAACTGATGAAAGTTTTGAAGAAGTGAAACAAATGGTGTTAAAAAATCGTCGAATCACTATTTGAGAAGTGATTGAAGACATCGGTATCTCTGTTGGCTCGTGCCATGCAATTTTTCCTGAAGTTTTGGGCATGAAACGTGTAGCAGTAAAATTTGTTCCAAAACTACTTAATTTTGAACAAAAGGACCGTCAAAGGAGCATCGTTCAAGAGCTGTTAAACGACGTCAATGATGATCCTGATATGCTCAAAAGAGTCATAACTGATGACGAATCATGGGTTTATGGTTTACAACGTCGAAACCAAAGCCCAATCGTCCCAATGAAAGACTTCAAAAGAGCCAAGACCGAAAAAAGCACGTCAAATTCAATCAAATGTCAAGGTCGTGCTCATTGTTTTCTTTGATTATCGTAGCGTAGTAAATCAAGAGTTTTATCACAAGGCGATACGGTTAATAAAGAGTATTACCTTGAAGTTATATACCGTTTGCGAGAAGCAATAAGAAAAAAACGTCCAGAATTGTGGAAAAGCAATTCATGGATTTTGAATCACGATAATGCACCTGTTCATCGTTGCTTGTGTCGAACTTTTTGGCCAAAAACAAAACCACAATCATGCCTCAAGCACTATATTTATCGGATATGGCCCCTTGCGACTTTTTGCTGTTCCCGAAACTCAAGAAATCCATGAATGGATGGAGGTTTGGAACAATTGAGGAGATAAAGAAAAAATCACTGGAAAAACTCAAGACTATACCAGAAAGTGCTTACCAGAAATGCTTTGAGGATTGGAAAAAACGTTGGTACAAGTGTATTATATCGGAGGGGGATTACTTTGAAGGGGACAACATAAATATTGATGAATAAATAAATATTTTTTCATAAAAATAAAAATTCACCTTACTTTTTGAACACACCTCGTACATTGAGATACATATTACATATTCGATCATTTTTTATAATAAACATTGTTTTTATAATAAATAAGTAGGACTGATAAAGGTAATTGT